CCCTCACAGCATTCACTCCATCACGGCTACCATGAAGGCTCATGTGTTGCAAGGCCCCATGGCAGACCTCTCCTGCCTCGCCCCACTCACTCGCCTACAGCACCTGTACGCCCCTCTTCCCCTCCCTCCTCACTCACCCCCGCCTGCCTTCCCTTCTCGCTCTGCCAACACTTGGGAGGCACGCTGGCGTGGGAATTACACTGGCGTGGGAATTACACTGGCGTGGGAATTACACTGGCTGGCGTGGGAATTACACTGGCGTGGGAATTACACTGGCTGGCGTGGGAATTACACTGGCGTGGGAATTACACTGGCGTGGGAATTACACTGGCGTGGGAATTACACTGGCTGGCGTGGGAATTACACTGGCGTGGGAATTACACTGGCGTGGGAATTACACTGGCTGGCGTGGGAATTACACTGGCGTGGGAATTACACTGGCTGGCGTGGGAATTACACTGGCGTGGGAATTACACTGGCTGGCGTGGGAATTACACTGGCGTGGGAATTACACTGGCTGGCGTGGGAATTACACTGGCGTGGGAATTACACTGGCGTGGGAATTACACTGGCGTGGGAATTACACTGGCGTGGGAATTACACTGGCTGGCGTGGGAATTACACTGGCGTGGGAATTACACTGGCTGGCGTGGGAATTACACTGGCGTGGGAATTACACTGGCTGGCGTGGGAATTACACTGGCGTGGGAATTACACTGGCGTGGGAATTACACTGGCTGGCGTGGGAATTACACTGGCGTGGGAATTACACTGGCTGGCGTGGGAATTACACTGGCGTGGGAATTACACTGGCTGGCGTGGGAATTACACTGGCGTGGGAATTACACTGGCTGGCGTGGGAATTACACTGGCGTGGGAATTACACTGGCTGGCGTGGGAATTACACTGGCGTGGGAATTACACTGGCGTGGGAATTACACTGGCTGGCGTGGGAATTACACTGGCGTGGGAATTACACTGGCTGGCGTGGGAATTACACTGGCGTGGGAATTACACTGGCTGGCGTGGGAATTACACTGGCGTGGGAATTACACTGGCTGGCGTGGGAATTACACTGGCGTGGGAATTACACTGGCGTGGGAATTACACTGGCGTGGGAATTACACTGGCGTGGGAATTACACTGGCTGGCGTGGGAATTACACTGGCGTGGGAATTACACTGGCGTGGGAATTACACTGGCTGGCGTGGGAATTACACTGGCGTGGGAATTACACTGGCTGGCGTGGGAATTACACTGGCGTGGGAATTACACTGGCTGGCGTGGGAATTACACTGGCTGGCGTGGGAATTACACTGGCGTGGGAATTACACTGGCGTGGGAATTACACTGGCATGGGAATTACACTGGCGTGGGAATTACACTGGCTGGCGTGGGAATTACACTGGCGTGGGAATTACACTGGCGTGGGCATTACTCCTCACAACCCTCCCATCCTCACCCATGCACCTCTCCCCTGTCATACCGTCACCCCCTTGCCCGCCCCTTCCTCAACGCGCTGCACATGTCCGGTGCTCCCCCCATCTCCATTCCCCTCAGCGCTCTTCGAAACCTCAACCTCACGCCTGGCCCACTCCCGCCAGCACTCTCTGCCCTCACTCTGCTCACACACCTGTAAGCTCAGACACCTGTAAGCTAACACACCTGTAAGCTCACACACCTGTAAGCTCACACACCTGTAAGCTCACACGCCTGTAAGCACACACACCTATAAGCTCACACACCTGTAAGCTCACACACCTGTAAGCTCACACGCCTGTAAGCTCACACGCCTGTAAGCTCACACACCTATAAGCTCACACACCTGTAAGCTCACACACCTGTAAGCTCACACACCTGTAAGCTCACACGCCTGTAAGCACACACACCTATAAGCTCACACACCTGTAAGCTCACACACCTGTAAGCTCACACGCCTGTAAGCTCACACGCCTGTAAGCTCACACACCTATAAGCTCACACACCTGTAAGCTCACACACCTGTAAGCTCACACACCTATAAGCTCACACACCTGTAAGCTCACACACCTGTAAGCTCACACACCTGTAAGCTCACACACCTGTAAGCTCACACACCTATAAGCTCGCACACCTGTAAGCTCACACACCTGTAAGCTCACACACCTATAAGCTCGCACACCTGTAAGCTCACACACCTGTAAGCTCACACACCTGTAAGCTCACACACCTGTAAGCTCACACACCTATAAGCTCACACACCTGTAGGCTCACACACCTGTAAGCTCACACACCTGTAAGCTCACACACCTGTAAGCTCACACACCTGTAAGCTCACACGCCTGTAAGCACACACACCTATAAGCTCACACACCTGTAAGCTCACACACCTGTAAGCTCACACGCCTGTAAGCTCACACGCCTGTAAGCTCACACACCTATAAGCTCACACACCTGTAAGCTCACACACCTGTAAGCTCACACACCTATAAGCTCACACACCTGTAAGCTCACACACCTGTAAGCTCACACACCTGTAAGCTCACACACCTGTAAGCTCACACACCTATAAGCTCGCACACCTGTAAGCTCACACACCTGTAAGCTCACACACCTATAAGCTCGCACACCTGTAAGCTCACACACCTTTAACCTCACACACCTGTAAGCTCACACACCTGTAAGCTCACACACCTATAAGCTCACACACCTGTAGGCTCACACACCTGTAAGCTCACACACCTGTAAGCTCACACACCTGTAAGCTCACACACCTGTAAGCTCACACGAATGTAAGCTCACACACCTGTAAGCTCACACACGTTTAAGCTCACACACCTGTGGACTTAATGTAACGATCACACAAGGATATGTTTCTGTATATACGCCTTCCTCTCGCTTTTTTTTGCTGCAGTAAATTGCTGAGGTCTATTTTCCCCTATCTCCCTCCTCCGTATCTCTCTTCCCCACTTTCTCCTCTCAGAGACATTCAGTTCCTCCCAGCCACCAGCCTCCCCACATGGATTACCGCCCTCTCCTCACTCGAGTACCTGTGCGTGCCGCCACACTTGCCGCCACACTTGCCGCCACATGTGCCGCCACACGTGCCTTCCCCTCACCATCCTGCTCCTCTGCACCTCACTAGCCTCGCCTACAGCTGTTCATCCCTCTCACGTGCACCAGAAGCACACACCCAGCATTCTCTCTGCACCTTCCGTCGTGATTGAGTCAGTGAGGTCAGTGCGCTGTGGCTGGTTACGGTGATGCCACGTGCACTGCTCCTTGCCCCACCCATGCCTCTCCACCGATTGGAGCGGCTGTGCCTCCCCCACCCTCCTTCCCTTGACCCCCCTGCAGGGATGTCACCGGCAACTTTCATGTGCACCGCTCTACACCGTTCCCCACCGAATGGACGGCGCTCACAGGGCTGGGGAGTCTGTGAGCCATGGCCGGGTCAAGACCACGCCATCTTGGATTGACACCTTGTGCTGCTCACCCGACCATTCACAGTGCTTTCTCTTTCTCCCGCCGTTCCATTCTTGCCATGCCATTGCCCGGTGACCCACTCAGCCCCACTGCCTTGCCCACTAGCCAGCAGTGCGCTCTCCCCTCCCCTTGCACCTCCAGGCGGGCCGGTCTGAATGGCTTCACTGGCTCTATCCCCTCCACCATCTCCGCCCTCACCGCCCTCTATGACCTGTACGCCCCCTTGCTTGCCCTCTCGTTCTGCCTCCCTCCCAGTTTCTCTGCTCACTCTTCGCCTCCTTCCCCTCGCCCTCGCTAGCATCATCTCTGCAAGGGTATCCATTCATGGACCAATCCACAGTCATCATCCAAAGGTGGCTATGCGATGGATGGTGGCCAAGCGATGGTGACCAAATGACGATCACACAACTGTCAGTCAACCACCGACCGACCATCACCAAGCAGCGATCACCAACTCACAATGACCAATCCACGGTGACCAATCCACGGTGAACAATGCACTATGACTGACTGAATTGACTAATACTGCTATTCATTACATTCCTGTGTCGTCCCATCTAACTCAGTGTGCCGTTCCCCTGTCCCCCGTGCGGGCAACAGAGAGCTCTACTACAACAACATCTCGGGCACCATCCCTGCTGCCATGGCCAACCTTACCCTCTCCTCCCTGTGAGCCCCACTCGTCTCCTTCCTCCTACCCACCCACTTGCACTCACTTGTTTGGAACTCTCTCACTCCCTCTTCTTGCTCTCCTTCTGTCAATCTTTCCTCCGCCTTTCCCGTCTTCGCCCCTTCATTTCCTTGATCCGTCTCTGGCCGCTCCCCCTGCATCGATCCCTCCCCCGCCCCCTCCCCCTCCCTTCCGTCCCCCCATGTCCCACACCACATGGCACCACATTGCGGCACGGCACAGGAGCCTGTTCTCCAACATGCTCTCGGGCACCATCCCTGCTCTCGACTCCATGTCGCTCTCCTCCCTGTCAGTGCTTGTGAGACCATGTCAGTGCTTGTGAGACCATGTCAGTGCTTGTGAGACCATGTCAGTGCTTGTGAGACCATGTCAGTGCTTGTGAGACCATGTCAGTGCTTGTGAGACCATGTCAGCGCTTGTGAGACCATGTCAGCGCTGGGCCTCGTACATGATCCATCGCCATGCTCTCATTGGTAATCCTTGCCGCTGTACGTGTGTTAATTTCACATCATAAGTGCCCCATTGAAAAAGATCCGAAGGCCGGATTGTTCAAGAAAATCCAGCTCTACTGGGAATCTCTTGCCCCCTCCTCATTGCCCGTGCTCACTGCCTTTCTCGCCCGCCTGCCCACCCGCCTGCCTGTCTTCCCGTGTGCGCGCCCATGTGTGCCTCCCTGCAGGGACCTCTCGTACAACCACCTGTCGGGCTCCTTGCCCACTGCCCTTTGCTCCATTGCAGACTCACTGTGAGCCACAGAAAGTCACGGGGTGTAGCAGACTAGAGGGAGTGAGCATGGGGCATGGCATGGTATCTCACCACCGTGTCGGGCTCACCATCTTGTGGAGAAGGTGTGCCCCGTTGCCACTCCTTGTGGACCAACCCCCTTTGGGGTGCGCTGCTCGCTACCCGGCACCGACGCTGACGCCCCACCTTGAGTCGGTTTTGAGTAGTTGCACACGTCACTTGCGGTTTAAAATTCTCGTCACAGGCACCACTCAACCTGTTATGCCTCGCATCGCACGCCCAGGTGTTTCTACCAGCGATAAGAAAAGGACATGTTGAGTAAACAGGGATGCGTGAAGGGTGTTGCCTGGACGCACACGTGGTTGGTTGCATGCGTCCTGGCTAGACATACCTGGGGAGGAAGGTCACTCGGTAACCACGCGCATCACATTGTGCGCGAGCGAGACGATACCTAAGTGTGTCAGTCTGAGTACCAAGGATCCTAGCCGCACAGCACAGCACAACGCCAGGGAATACAAACACCAATGGAGTCACCCCTAGGACTTAGGTTGTGGTACCCAAAGAGGTTGGCATCAGTCATGGCACGTGTGCTCTGGCCAACCACGCTACACATGGCATGCAAGGACGACCCCACGGCTCACTTCACTTCACAGGATCTCATATCACTGCTACGCTACCACCTACTTGCCCCCACCCCCATCCCCCCCCTTCATGTTTGGCATGCATCTGTCCCCAAATGGTTCTCCTCAGGAAGCTGGGTCACAACGATCTTGAGGGGCCCATGCCTGCGTGCTTTGACCGCGTCAGAGGTCACACGTGAGCTGTACCCTCCCATCCACCTCGCCCCACTCACATGCTCATCCACGTGTCTCCACCCTACCCCACGCATCTCACCTTCTCACCTGGACTCAACTCAGAGCCCGCACAGCTGGGCCCCATTGCGAATGAATATGCCCCTAATGGACAAACTCAATTGCCGCCACGGTCCTTGTTTCCCCCAGTCTCTCCCTTCCTCTCCACTCATCCGTCATAGTACAAACTAACCGCTACGGCCATACAGGCGTGTCTCCAGGTCTTTCTACCTGCCTCATTCGCCTGCTCTTTCCCTCCACCCGTGCCCCACCCCCCATGGCAGTGATCTGAGTTTCAACAACCTCTCAGGGCCCATCCCAGTGACCTTGAGTCGCCACGCACTGGACAATCTGTAAGCCTCAAACTACATGCTCTCTCAGAGCGTGTGATAGGATTCGGGGACTCTGGCACTTTGCATAGCGATCAGTTCCATAGAGGTCCGTTCCATAGAGGTCCGTTCCATAGAGGTCCGTTCCATAGAGGTCCGTTCCATAGAGGTCCGTTGAGACAGTAGATTCATGTGAAATGGATCCGTTCCATGCATGCATGCCCCCTCGTGCTGAGAAGCATAGAGGCAGCCAGCTGTGTGACATGTCGCCACACCATGCCAGCAACATGTGCCATGTGCCATGCTTCACTGCACCACACCACACGCCATCTCCTCCCTGCTCCCTTGCTCCCTTCGCCCTCACTCTCTCCTCCTTTTCTCCCTTGCTCCCTTGCTCCCCTCTCCCTTGCTCCCCTCTCTCTTGCTCCCCTCTCCCTTGCTCCTCTCTCTCTTGCTCCTTTCTTCCTTGCTCCTCTCTCTCGCTCTCCTTTCTCCCTTGCTCCTCTCTCTCTTGCTCCTTTCTTCCTTGCTCCTCTCTCTCGCTCTCCTTTCTCCCTTGCTCCTCTCTCTCTTGCTTCGAACTCCCTTGCCCCTCTCTCTATCTCCTTTCTTCCTTTCCTTTTTTCCCTAGTCATGTTCTCCATTTCTCCCTTCTCCCTGCGCCTGTCTCCATTCTCCCTTCTCCCCCCTTCGCCCCCAGGGACCTCACTAGCTCGGGATTGACCTGTCCTTTAGACGGCAGCGAGTGTGGGGTGAAGCAGAGCAACGCCTCCTCCTTCTGCAGCATCTGCTTCTCCTTCTGCTCCTCCTGCACACCCCATGAACGTAAGTACTTGTGCTGTCTTGAGATTAAAGATACGAGCATGAGAGTGATGCCACACCACCTTCAAAAGAGCATGATGAGAACGTATAGGGCTATATACACAGGTGGTTTGTGCATGGATGGATGGCGTGTGTGGTGTGAGGAATCAGGGTTGCGTTGCGGTGCATGCACATGCTGAGATCATACAGAGTAATGGAACATTCAGCTGGCACCGACCGTCCTTCTTATGTCTGCAACATGCATCAATCAACATGCATCGATCAACATGCATCGATCAACATGCATCGATCAACATGCAACATGCAACATGCAACGTGGAATGTGCATCCTCCCCTGTCCTGTGCTGTCCACACTCCAGTGTCGGCGCCCACCACCCCGCCATCAGCTTCCCAGGCGGCATCTCAGCCTTCCCTCACAGCTTCCCCACCCTCACCTCCCACAACCGCAGCTATTCGTTCCATGCCACACGCTGCCACCATCGGTCTTGTACTTGTTGTTGCTGCCGCTGCTGTTCTAATGGTGCTTACCCTAGGGAATATTCGAACTCCCAAGGGCTTCAGTGCAGTCCCACCCTCTCAGACCGACATTGAGCTGTGAAACCAGGAGCTGGGCGAGCGATTCAAGGATTATCACAATTAGTCATGAATACGTTTGTGACACTTTCTTTCTGGACATGTCTACAGCCGAATGTACCCTCAAGTCCGGTCGTGTTGCTACGACTTGCACAACCCTGTGCCTTGATCGGCGTTGCTAGGTTTGTCTATGTATTGCCTCCCTCCCCTCCTCCCCGTTGTTCCTTTCCTGCTCAAGAATTCGGCATTGTTCTGTTCTTCAGTTGGTTTTCTCCAAGAGAAGTTTGTTTGTTCCACTTGAAACCATTGTATTGAGTTCCTGCTAAGTTGCACCAGACCCTCGCCACAGGGCGCAAACGAGCTTCATCGGTAGAGCTACTGTATAGCTTTAACATATATTCCTACCTACCGTATCCTACATAACACAAACAAGGACTTTACCATGCCACTGCTTACAGGGCTGGAGGAAAACAAAAAAAAAACATGGTTGAGCAACCAGCAATACATAGGCAAGCCTCCAAATAGAGGACTAAAAACTACAAGAGGGATGAGAGGGTGGGTGGTTGGGGGAGACCCGTAGTGGTGACAATAGCAGCAACCTGGGTGTCATGCTATAGCAGAGCCACGAGAGAGAGCGCAGCGACCAAGAGGAGGGGGACTGCGCACAGCACACACACAAATGCGGGAAAATGAGGCATGTTAAACATGTGGGTTGAGGAGCGGTTGCACCCACAGTAGTAGCCATCACGAACGCACACAGCACAGCACACACAGGAGAGTCAGTGGCAAGAAATGAGGGGGGGGGAAAGGAGAAGAGAGTGCAGCGCTCACCTGCAGCAGCCTTGCTCTGTGATTTACTGGCAGGGGGTGACCCAGCAGGTGGTGCTGGCGTGCCACTTGCTGCACTCTTAGTCGCATCCTGCCCACCGCTACTGCTGCTGCTGCTGTTGCTAGACCCAGCACCCGTGGCAGCACTGCCGTCGGGCTGCCCGCCAGTGGCAGTGCCATTCGTGCCGGCGCCGTTCGCGCTGTCGTTAGCAACGCCACCAGGTGCCACGACAGGGATGGCGATGGGCATGGGCACGCCACCCTCTGCTCCTCCTCCTCCTCCTGCGCCCCCCTTGTCAAACACGGGCAAGTCGCGGAAGTGGGGGAAGAGCACGGCATCCACGCCATGCACCACCATGCCAGCGCTGTCCATCAGATCAGCCCGCACCACCCGAGCCACCTTCATGTCGCTGCCAGCCTGCTCCCACATGCTGCCGGACCCTGCCGCCCAGGCGTTGGAGGAGGAGTTGAGCCACGCGAGGTACTCAGTGGCAGTCACGTTCAGCCCCGGCACGGCCCCGTTCATCCACTCCGTCGCATTCCCCCACCACTGCTGCTGCGCGTCCGCGCTCCAGTTGCCCCAGTCGCCCCCCATGCCCCCCATGCCCCACCCGCCCATGACCCCCGGGATCGGGTCCACCTGGATGGAGGGCGGCATCTCGGCGGGCGCGGGCATGGCGGTGGCGGGGGGCACATCGGCGGGGCCGCCGATCATGGGGGCGGGTTCCATCATGGGTTGAGGCTCCATCATCTGCGCGCCAGCCACGCCGCGCGGCGCCACCGAGCCGTCGCCGTTGGAGGGAGGCGACGAGACGGTAGGGGGCAGGGGCACGCCCGGCCCGTCGATGGCGATGGCGGTGCCGTTGGTGTTCACAACGGTACCGTTGGCGCTGACGACGGTACCGTTGGCGAAGTACGTGTTACCCTCCGAGTCCACGGCCACGGGGCTCGTCGCGGGGTCAAAGATGACGGTGCCGTTGGCGGCGACGGTGGTGCCGTTGGGGTAGTACACGGTGCCGTCGTACCCCACGCTGATCCCCTCGCTCATCAGCGCGCGCTGCGCCGGCGTGTACGCGTTGAGCAGCGCGGCGGACTCGCTCGCGTTGAAGTTGATCCACAGCCCCTGCCCGTTCACCGTCGTCAGGTTGCCCGCATCCGCCGTGAACTGCGCCGCGATGGCCGCCGCGTTCAGCGCCGCCGTCGCCACGTGATACGCGAGGAGCTCCGACAGAGCCTTCAGCGCCTCGGGCCGCTCCTTCGCCAGCGCCGCCAGCGACGCGGGCGTCCCGTCGCCGGCAAACACGGCGCTCAATGCGGCGAGAAGCGGGTCGAAAGTCAACGGGTTCATATTTGGCATGGACATGTTTATATTGGGAAAGGTCCAGTTGAAGTCGGGCACGGTCATATTGATGCCGGGCATGGTCATGTTGAGATCGGGCATGGGAATCGTCATGTTATCCACAGGTATTGTCAAATTCAATCCGTCTGACCCGCCGGGATTCCCGGGAATCGCCACGTCGGGAACGCCGGGCAGCGGCAAGTCAACTTGCGGAAGGCCGGGAATCATCGCCGCGCTCGCACCGCCGCTAGCGCCTCCCGTAGCGGGGGCAACACCGGGCGCTGGGGTCGGCTGTGTGATGCCACCAGGACTGGCGGCGTCCGAACCGCCCGTGCCGCCCGAGCTGTTCCCCGGACTGCCCGGGCTTCCGGGGGTCTCGCCGCCGACGGCGGCGCCGGGGAAGGGAATGTAGGCGCTGAGATACGGCAGGGCGAGGGCGTGGAATGCGGCGCGCCATGCGGCGTCGGTGGGCGCGAAGAGAGTGAGCGGCGCGAGCGAGGGCAGCTTGGCGAGCAGCCCGGTGGCGTTGAGGACGAGCAGCGACACGTTGAACGACTGCGACGGCGACTCCGCGCTCTCCAGTGCCGCCGCTATCGACGTCGCGGCCGGACCCTGCGGTGCGCCGCGCACGGCGCACGGCGCGGAGAGCGCGATGGAAATGACGAGGCACAGCAGCGCTGCGCGTGGTACATTTTTGGTTGCCTGGAGCATTCTGGTAGAGCGAGGGAGTAGCATCTTGGGCGAGCGAAGAGCAAGCAGTGGATAGAAGGAACTTGGCAGTCAATGCGAGGTTGCACGTTGCTTGCCACACTTTTTGGCTGCTTTGAAGAGTGCAGCACCAAGCTCTGATCAGAGGCACAAATACACGCTAGTGTGCTTGTGGTATGGTTTGACGAAACGACCGCTGGGTTTTGTAGGCATGGGATGGGACTGAGTGGGCAGGGATGATGCTGTGGGGGAATGCGGGGGGGGGCACGAAAAACCGCTGATCCAGTCGCACTTGTCACGGTCCATGAACGAAAGAGATTCTTTCGCGGAGCATCGCGCGGTTCGCTCGCACCGCCAGTGCGCCACGCCACCACAGGCCGTACGGAGAGGCGGAAGGAAACACAGCGGCGGGAGAGAGGGGCCGTGCGGGAAAAGGTCGAGCGAGAAGGCGCGAAGAAGTTGCCGTCTACCAAGCCTGAGGCTACTTGGGCCCAGTTCGGTAGGCATTGGCCCCGTTCTGTTGCCGCATTGGCTTGAGGCCTCCGACGCATAGAACAGCGAGAACAGCGATGCTTCAAAAACAGGGGCGTATTCCTTAAAACAGGCTCGGGACCTTGAACTCCATCCCGAACCTAGCCAATGCTGTGCTGTGCGGAGAAGACAAATGCGGCAACAGAACGCTGAACTGGTAATGCGGTCTGAACCTACATCGAAAGTTCCTTTCACGGGCAAACCTGATGCGCCGCACTGCTATGCCAATCCCCACGACGAGGGGGGTTTCAGGCTAAGCACGGCTGCACCCGGGCAGGCAAAAAATTACCGGGCAGGCAATAATCCGTATTTCGCCAATCTTTCTGCTCGAATATTCCACGGTCTGTTGCCCAAAAATAAATTGTTAACGTCCCTAGAGTTTCGCCGCTGATGTGAGGTAGGATCCACGTGGCTTCAATCGACATGATGCTACCTTGAAGGTTCATTCCGCACCCGCTGTGCTGTGCTGTGCGGTTCTCGGCCAAAAGGCCAATGCGGCAACAGAACAGCGCCATTATGGCCATTTTCGCCATTATGGGCATTTTTAACGGGCCCCCAAAAAATGGCGCTTGGGCATTTCCAGAAACAACTTCGAAACTGGACTGTAGCTGTAGTGCACCTTCGGAAAAATGGTATGAGTGTTCGGTTGGCATTAATTGGGTGTAGATTGATGGAATCAATCGAGATTCCGGGTTTCGCAGAAGGTGCTTGAAAGTTGCCTTGATGGATCGCGTCCTCATGTGATTGGCTGGCATATTTGACCAGTCACTTTTGATTGCCCCGAATCACTGATACCCCGCATGGTGCGGGGCCTCGAGGCCGCATGGTGCGGCGGATCAGAAAATGGCCACTTTGCCAGAGAAACTGGGTTCGTGGAAGATTCGGGCAGTTGAAAACGCCTGCAAAAAATAGGGTGTTCGGGAGGCATTCCATTATTGTCTGGCTCGGCGATGATCCGCTTATATCGAGCCAAGATAACCCTTCACGCGCTTATCAAAGAAGGTTCCGGGGTGATCGGTTTACTGTAGCCCATCCGCCGAGGCCCTTTTTTTAATGCATCCGTGCTTCGATATGGCACTACCGTGTTTGTGCTTCTAGAATGTAACAGCGTCTAAGTAACTATGTAGGAACTTATATTCTCCTTACGTCACATTTGACTTCACCACGTACAACACTATGTAGTGTTCGCTCATGCCATCTCTCATACTGTAATATTCATTGACCAACTATTGCAATCCAGAAAATAGTTTTTATAGGTCGTCTGGATTCATTCAAGAACTTGGGTGCTTTCTGTTACGAATAGTGATTATTGAAACACTATTACACACTCCTCACCGCAGCAATCGGAGCACGTACTACCGAGAATGAAGACGGACAGGTGGAGGTGACATGAAGAGTCACACGGTTACGAAAGGATCTGGACCGTCGGGCAGACAGCATCAGGCAGCAGCAGTGGCGAGGAATCTGCCCGAACAGTTTCGTAATTGTCCAGAGTCGCACGGTTGGATTTCGCTGCAATAAGGGAATGTACCCCTTAGAGTACATGGCTAGCTAGGTCGATTGGTATTCCCTTGTAATCTTATTTATATCCTTTGTATTGCATGTTTCTATCATCTCAA